ATGATTTTCACCTCAGAAATCAATCAAGCACATCTGTTTCTCCATCTATCTATTCACAATCCTGCCATTACCATTAGTTTTTTTATCAAAACGAAGGTATCACATTTTTAAATCACAAATTCACAGATACAAAATACATTTATGTGTACAAAGAATAGATACATTTAAAAGTCTGACAAAGCAAGGTAGAAAATGAATGTATAAAATCTGAAAAGAGTGTATTTACAAAATAATTTAAAATGTTAAATATTTTCATTTAAATATATTAAAACATTACTAAATGACAATTATATACTGGCATAGTGAATAGTATTGCAGTTCACTACCCTAATTAAGATAAGTATATACTTGCATACTAAAGTAAATAGAACTGTATTGATTGTCAGAGTGAGCATGTGTGTTGTTGAGCATGTGGTTTGTGAACTTGTTTTTGCTCACTGACTGAACATATGAGTCAGAATGAACTTTTTCCAGTCCTTCTGCAACAAGTGAGGCAGACAAACTGGTTTAGATTAATCTTAGCTTAACATCATTGCAGATCAGTTACCATAATTCAAGTCATATTCTGAATGTTGGGAAAACAACAGCTGCATGTTCTTTCTGGTCATCTCTGCCACCTATAACCTTATTTATGTCCTTCAAGCAAGTTCTCTAAAGTTTGTTGACATCTATTAGAAGGCTCATCACTGATTTGGTGGCCATCTTCATCTGTACCTGCAGAACTCTGGTCCTGTGGCAGCTCAATCAGGGAAACAGACCTCACTGAAGACAGGCGGCTATGCCGGCTGGTCGTACGCTGTCTTATGATGTTTGGTTGGCCCAAAACACTCCTCAGCTGGACCCAGAAAAAGCTCTGTTCTGTTGGTTGCTGGGGCCACTCTAGGTAGGTTTTGGTATTGAGCATCCTTTTGAGCTTGCAGAATTTACTGGGAAGAGAAGTGGGGTCTATGGGCTCCTTCACAATCAGGATGACATCACTGAACGTCTTGCCAATGGCCCGCTGTTGGGCAAAGTAGAGCTCGTAGTTGCACCACTCGCTGTTTACGAAGTTCCGCGACAACACGAAGATTACCTTAATAACAAGAAAACATTTTAGGATGCGGTTTGGGAATTTATAAAATATTTCAGAACTTTAGATTATTTGCTCTTTCATTTATTTTTAGGGGTTATTTTATATGATAGCCCATTTCCACCTCAGATTTTAAAAAAAAGGTAATTGTGAGACATTTACAATAAGAAATAAAGTCACTGTGTAATATAAAGTTAAGAATATAAATAAAGCTGCAATTGCAACATATAAAGTTACACTGTATGATATAAAGTTACAATTGTCAGATAAGTTGAATGGTGCGAAATATAGTCACACTGTGAAAGAGTCAGTTGTGAAATACACAACTGTTCAAATGTTTGGAGTTAGATTTTTTAAAAGAAGTTAATACTTTTAATCAGCAAGGATCAGTTGATCAAAAGTGAAATTAAAGACTTTTACATTCGTGTACAAATGATTTCTATTTCAAATAAATTCTTTCTATTCATCAAAGTATCCTTAAAAAAAAAAATCACGGTTTCCATAAAAAATGTTAAACAGTAAAACTGTTTTTACCATTAATAATAATAAAAATGTTTTATGAGCATCAAATTAGCATTTTAGAATCATTTATGAAAGATAAAAAAGCTACATTTTAAATATAATAAAATATGAATCAGCTATTTAAAATCAAATAAATGGAGCCTTGGTGAAGATAAGAGGCTTATCCTATCTACCCAAAATTTTGAATGGTAGTGTATGATGTTGAAACTGTGAGATATGAAGTCGTAGTTATGGGAAATAATGTTGCAATTCTGAAATATATAATCAACGTTTAATTTTTTTACTCTGAGATGGAAATAGGCTTCTATAATTTGAAGCTTTAGATATTTACATCCACACTACACTTTGGTGATGGAAGTCTTCATTAAAAAA